ACTGCCCTGGAGGAGGCTGCTACCGAGACATGGGCCCCGGGGGACGCCAAGGCCACCCAGGCTCGGGTCCCTGGGAGCCCCCAGCCGCTTCCTGGCCCGGATTTGAAGCTGAGCCCAGTACACAGTGTGGGCCAGCTCATAGGGGCCATATTGGACGCTGAGGGCGCAGGGGCTCTGCCCAGCCCCGCCCAGTGAGACAGAGGCCCCTGGGGCACTGGGAGCGGTTCCAGCCTGGGCTGGGTCAGCACCGTTGCCTTGAGCAGCGGCCCCCAGAGAGCCGCCAAGGTGCTGTGGGCAGGGCCGGGTCTCTTCCAGCAGACACCCCCAGACACCTCCCAGGCAACATGGGGGTGTGTTGTAGGCACATGCCGCGTGAAGTGGACGTACATGTGTGCCCCTGACGGTGTGCTGCCCATCCCGTGCAGTCAGTCTCCCAGAGCGAGGGGCGTGAGGAGCCTGGGGAGCATGCCAGCTACTGTGTTCCTGGAACCTGCGCCCTGGCTGGGTCACCTGCTGTGGGCCTGCTCGCTTCCCAGGCCTGTTTCCATCCCGAGCAAGCTCTAGGGCACATCCTGCCCCAGCTCTTCTCTGTCATTTGGGGCACCCAGCCCCACCCTGGGGGCCCTTGTGGGGGGCAGAGTGGAAGGAGGCCAGAGGCTGGATCTTGGATCAGGGGTCACGTTGGCTGCAGCTACTGTGGTGTTCCGTCCTGGAGGCCTGGTGACCTCACTTGTGGGTCCTTGGAAGTGCCTGGGAGAGTGCTGAGCTGGCCGCTGCCCCCTCTGACCCGTGTCTGGGCAGCCATCCTGCCCTGGCCCTCCCCTGGGAGCTGTGGTAGGCTCTGGCACTGCTGGAATGTGGGCACCTCAGCTGTGGGGCGCAGCCTGGAGGCTGTGTGGGACAGTGGGGGGCCTTGGCCGGCCACCTGTGGTGCTGCTGCCCTAGGCGTGGAGGCACCAGCAGGTGCTGAGTGGACAAGCAGAACCTGTTTTGTCACGGTTGATCCTGTGGACGCCTGTCAGCCGTGTGCCAGGGTCCCCCGGGCAGTGGGCTGGGCTCCGGAGGGCTGGGAAAGCTTTGCAGCCCTGGTTTGCCCTCCTGTGAAGGAGGCCCTGTGGCCAGCAGGACGCCTCGGCCAGCCTGGCTTGGCAGGGTGGCATTGGCCTCAGCCTAAAGGAGGTGTCCAGCCCCTGGGGCACCACAGGCGGAGGGGCCCTGCCTTGTGATTTTCGTTGCTGTTGATGCCAGTTAGGAGTGACACGTCCCTTCCTGTGTCCCCGGGTGGGCAGAGGGAAGGGGTCCTGGTGGTAGGAGGGGTAACGCCAGCTGGGACAATGGGCCTGGGTTGTGGTCATTACAACCCTTCTGGGGAGTGGCCCCCGCCCCTTAGAAGCCCCCTCCAAGGTCGAAGCAGTGCCAGGGAAGGGCCCTGCTGCCCTTGCCCTTCCAGCCCTGGACAGCCAGGGCCCTCCTCCTGAGTGTGGACGGGCCCTGGTGATCCCAGCCCTGGCCCCTGCACCCCCAGCCCGTGGACCGGGATGCCGTGGTGTACCACCCAGACCTGGAGGAACTGCTGCAGGCCTGGCCTGCCGAGCTGCCCGACGAGTTCTTTGAGGTGACGGTGGATGATGTCCGGAGGCGCCTGGCACAGCTCAAGAATGAGCGGTGGGTGCCCAGCCCGTCTGCCCCACGTGCCATTTCCCACTCTGCCTGCCTCGGGTACTGTGGTGGTAGGTGTGGGGACTGCAAGGGGTTGCCCTGACAGGAGCCCTGGACCTGTCCCCCTTCCCCACTGTAGGAAGCGCCTGGAAGAAGCCCCCTTGGTGACCAAGGCCTACAGGGAGGCCCGGATGAAGGAGAAGTTGGAGCGCTACCCGAAGGTGCATCCGAGGGCTATGCCAGGGACATATCCCAGCTGGCCCTCGCAAAGGCAGAGGGGCAGGATGGGTCCCTACTCAGACGCACGTGCCACATGCCACCATATCCACTGGAGCTGGGCCCTCCGTCCATGTCTCCTAGGCGTGTGTCACAGAGAGGTGGGCTCGGGTGGGCCTGGCACTCTGGTCGGTTAAGCAGTGCTGCAGATGGCCGCGCCGTGTGTGGGAGAGGCGGCATGGCAGGAAGACGGGTACAAAATGTTCATCTGCTGGTTTGCGCCCAAGATGCCCACCACATGGGGCCAGGCCAGCAGCCTGGGCCTCATCTGCGGCCCTCTCGGCTCCGGAAGCAGGTGGGACGTGGAGCAGTGGGCACGGCCACCCCCTTACCGGCCCATTGTCTGCTCCAGGTGGCTGTGAGGGTCCTGTTCCCGGACCGCTACATCCTGCAAGGTTTCTTCCGCCCCAATGAGACAGGCAAGTGCGAGGGGAGTGGAGGGGCCGCGCGGGGCCGGCCGTGGGGTGGCACCCTAACCTGAGCACGCCCCTCTTGTGCAGTTGGAGATTTGCAGGAGTTTGTGAGGCACCATCTAGGGAACCCCGAGCTGCCGTTCCACCTGTGTGAGTGTCACCCCGCCCTTCCCACTGGGGCTGCCCAGGGAGGGGCGTGGGCACCCAGGCCACGGGTGCCCGCCGGCGTGGGCACCTCCTGAAGGAGCGGTTGGCCTCTCCACAGTTATTGCCCCTCCGAAGACGGTCCTGGATGACCACACGCTCACACTGTTCCAGGTATGGCCCGGCCTGAGCTGGGGCCTCCAGGGCTCCTGGCCACTGGGCCGCTGGCAGGAAAGGAGGCACTGTTGGCTGGGAGGCCCAGGATGCCATGTTGGCACCAATCCGGGCCTCCTAGCCCACTGGCCTCAGAGTCACCTCTGCAGAGGCCAGTCCAGCCCCAGGAGGGGCTAGGGTACCCCTCACCCCCCAGCTGCCTGTTCTGGAGGACTCGCTGGGCTCAGGCTGGCCACCCTGGGCAGGAGGCCCCACGGAGTCAGGCTGCAGCCATCTCCTCTAATCTGTCAGCTCAGGGCCTCGTGAGCAGGGGGGACGACAGGGGGAAGGAAGTAGAGTGAGCCGCCGACTTCCAAGTCTGGCAGAGCTGCTCATGGCTGTAGTCTGGGCCAGCCCATGGCAGCAAGTAGCAATGTGGGCGGGGTGCTAGGAGCCAAAGGGCACAGGCACAGAGGGCCCTGCCCCCCACCTTGCCTGCAGCCCTGGCACAGGTACTCCTCAGGGTCCCCCACTTCTCTGCTCCCTGTCCCCAAGGACAAGCTTCCCGGGGGTGGCAGTGGAGGCCTGTCTTGCTGGCTGCCCTGGCCACCCCTGGAGTGAGTGTGGTGCTGCTGCTCGGGGACCCAGGCTTCCCCATGTGGTCCTGCAGATGGGCCCTCATCCCCTGGAGCTGTTGCCTCTAGCCCCCCATTTCTTGCCTGCCTTGTGGGGCTGCAGAGCCAGGGTCTGCTGCAGGCAGGGCCCTGGCTCTGCCCACCCTCTGAGAGCCTGGGTTCCAGGGACACAGCTCAGGCCAAGCCCCTAGCCTGTGTGCTCTGCCTGTGGCCATCTGGGCCCATGCACCTTGCAGTCTGGGATACGGGCAGGGGAGAGTGGCCTGTGGAAGACCTTCTTGGCAGTTGGGCTGGACAGTGGCTAGGGAGGTGATATGGGCAGACACTTCCTGGGCAGTGCCCAGGCTTTACACTGCCCTCTGCAGCACTGGGGCCACCCCCTCCTCCCCAGCCCTGGCCCCGAGATGTCCTGCTCGGGGGCAGGGCACAGCTCAGGTCCCTTCTCCCCTGGCCCAGATGTCCAGCTTGCGGAGGCGAGAGCAGAGGCAGTGGGCTTCCTGGGCCTGCCCTGTCGGTCACCGCTGTTCCCCAGCCTGTGGCACCGGGCAGGCCTCCTGGGGCCCCCAGCCGTGACACGGCCTCAGGGTTCACTGCCCGCCAGGGAACACAGCTGGGAATGGGGTGGCTGCCCTACCTGCCCCCATGACAGCTCCTGACCGATGGCCCCTCCTGTGGCAACCATCTCCCCTCACCTGGAGAGTGAGGGTAACCCTGGCCACAGCCCTGTGTGCTTCAGGGGGCAGGCTGGGTGTTCCAGCCCCTCTGCAGGTCGCCGGCTCTCAGGGGGCCAGGGTGAGGCCCTTAGAAGCTGGGAACCCCTGAGTGCCCTTTCCTTGCAGGCAGACCTCTTCCCCGCTGCCCTCGTGCACTTTGGGGCGCAAGAGCCAACAGGTGAGCTGGCCCCACCCACACCTGAGTGGCCAGGGAGTGAGCTGGCCTTGCCCCTGCAGACCCTCCCACACTGAGTGGCCAGGGAGTGAGCTGGCCTCGCCCCTGCAGACCCTCCCACACTAACTGAGTGGCCAGGGAGTGAGCTGGCCTCGTCCCTGCAGACCCTCCCATACCTAACCGGGCGGTCAGGGGTGTGGGACGTGGGGTGTGTCCTCCTGAGCTGGCCTTGGCTTTGGGCAGCTGTCTACCTGGAGCCCAGGCTGCTGGAGCAGAGTGTGCCTCCGTCTGCGGCTGACATGCTGGTGGCCAGGTACGTGTGGCAAGGGGGCGGGGCTCCCCAATCTGGCACCCGCTCCTAACCTCCCCTCGCTCTCAGGTGCATGTCCAGGTCTGCCGGGTCCCCACCCCCACCGGCAGCCCTTCCAGCCGCTGACGAGGGGGCCCCAGAGCCCCCCGAGCCCGCCGTAGGGATGGCCCAGCCTGTGAGGAGCCTGGACAAGGTGCCCAAGTGGCTGAAGCTGCCAGGTGCCTCTGCCGGGGAGTCGGGGGCAGCCGGGTAGGGGGAGGGAGCATGAGCCCTGTGACATCCGTGCGTCTGCCCTGCAGCCGGCAAGAGGTGAGAGCGGCCAGCTGTGGGAGCCTGCCCTGGACCCCAGGACCCCACCCCGCCCGAGCCAGAATAAAGCCACGCTTCTCTGCAAGCTTCCTGTCGTCTGTGGCCCCAGACAAGGGCAGCGCAGGCAAGCGGCCTCCCTGGCCCGGCGGGCACTGTCCACTCGAGGCTGTGAGGGCGGCAGCGAGATGGGCTGAGTGGGAGTCAGAGCACGCGTGTCTGACGTCTGGTTTATTGCCACCAAACAAGAGTCAACCCACAGCTGGGCAAAGTCACTGAGGGGATGCCACATGGCCACAGGCCACCAGTGCCTGGACTGGGGGGCCTGGCCTTTCCTCCAGCATCTGCCAGCCTGGGAGCCCTGTGGGCTGACCACTGTGTCCCATGGTCACCGGCTGGAGGATGGGCTGTGCACTGGTGGGCTCGCTGGCTGGCTTCAGTGGACTGGTCCAGTGTACCCCTAGAAGTCCAGGAGCTGTGGGGGAGCAGATCTCAGTGTGGGGCGAGCACCACGCCACCCATGGGTGCACCCCATACCTGGCACCCTACATACCAGCTGCGGCAGCACCTTTTCCAGCTGCTCCACGTCCACCTGGGCCACGTCCTCCGCCTGGGCCTGACGCACCCCACGGACGGCCGCCTCTGCCGAGACACAGGGGCTGGGGAGGTGGGGGGCTGCCCGGGGTCCCCCACCCATCCTCTTGGGCCTGCTGAATCCAGGAGATGCTGGGGAGGTGGGGGGCTGCCTGGGGCCCCCACCACGAAGCTCTCCGGCAGCGCCTGCCGGAGGGTTTTGGGGGACATGGTGAGAGATGGGCCGAGTGGGTGTGGATGCTTGTGCAGGGTCCCACTGGGTGCTGGCACTCACCCACTACGAAGACCCTCAGCAGCTCAGCCGTCAGCTGCAATGCGTCCGCGCCCACTGCAGGGGGAGCGGGCTCAGCGGGCGTGGCCGGCCGGGCCCCCCAACACTCCCCGCACCCCCAACACTCCCCGCACACCCAGGCCACGCACCTCGGGTCTTGTCGTCCCTGAAGTGCAGGTGCAGCAGCTTGCTCACCAGCTCCTGAGGGGAGGAGGGGTCGGCGCTTGCAGGCGCGGGGCAGCCGCACTGTCCCCGCCCGCCCTCCTCCCCGCTGCCCCCGCCTCACCCCGCAGGCCCCACAGACCCCGCAGCTTCCAACAGACCCCACAGACCCCGCAGCTCCCACCGCACCCGCAGCTCCCGCCTCACCCCACAGACCCCCAGACCTCAGACCCCGCAGCCCCCACCGCACCCGCAGCCCCCGCCTCACCCCACAGACCCCACAGATCCCGCAGCTCCTGCAGTCCTCACCTTCCGGAAGCCCGTGTCGGACCCTTCCATGGCCGCCGCCTCGCGCCTCCGACTTCCCGGCCAATGAGGCGGAGCCTGCCTTCCAGAGCTCGCCTCCCCGGGCCGCTGGCCAATGAGCCCGGAGCGCGCGCTCCATAGACCCGCCTCGCCCCCACCTCCAGCCAATGAGCCGGCGAGCCCCTGCGCGAGGCCTCCTGGGACTTGTAGTTTTCGCTCGCCGCTTCCCGGTGCGCCCGCTCTTCCTGGATACGGCGGCGCCCGGGGCCGGTGCTCCCCGCGCGGCCCGGTCCTCCCTTCCCGCCCGGGGGCCGCGGGGCATGGAGGAGCTGCGGCGCTCCTACAGCCGCCTGTGCCGGCAGAGCGGGGCTGAGCCGCAGGAGGCCGTGCTGCAACAGCTGCGCCAGCCGCCGCGGGGCCGGCTGGACCTGGCCGCGCACAGCCTGACCGTGCACAGCTGCAGGGCGCTGGGCACGCTGCTGCGGGGCGAGGCGCTGCTCACCGAGCTGGTCCTGAGCGACTGCATGCTGAGCGAGGAAGGTGGGCAGGGCCCGCGAGCTGGCCTGGCGGGACCCGGCGGGGGAGAGTCGTCCCGCAGGGAGGGCCGCGAGGCCGGGGCGCAGCGTGACCGTCGCTCCGCCTGTGCACAGGGGCCGCGCTGCTGTTGCACGGGCTCTGTACCAACGCCGCCGTCCGGCTGCTGGACCTGAAGGTGAGCCGGCCTGCGGGCGGCTGGCGGCCTCCTCCCTGCCCCTTGCACCCCAGGCAGAGCCGGCCAGGACCTGCCCGTGGGCTCTGTCCTTTCCCATCCCAGGGCAATAACCTTCGAGCCACAGGGGCCGAGGTGCTGGGGAAGCTGCTGCGACACAACAGGTCCATTCAGAGGTAGGGCACCTCCCAGGCCGTTCGGGTCAGTGCCAAACACAACCCAGACCATGTGGTCACCCCAGGCCCACCTGCTGCACACAGCCTCACCCTGGAGTGGAATAGCCTGGGTGCCTGGGAGGACGCTTTTGCCGCCTTCTGCGGGGGCCTGGCGGCCAACGGGACCCTGCAGCAGCTGGACCTTCGCAACAACCAGATCAGCCACACGGGGGCTGAGCAGCTGGCCCTGGCCCTGGCGGCCAACAGCACCCTGCAGGAGCTAGGTGAGCCGGTGGGAGGCTCAGGGCTCCCTGCCAGGGTGTGTCCTGCATGGTGACACCTTGGTCCTTCCAGACCTGCGCTGGAACAACCTGGGCCTCCTGGGCGGCCGGGCCCTGCTTGGCTGCTTCCCCGGCAACCGCGCCCTGCGCCGCTTGGAGCTCGCTGGCAACAACATCCCCGGCGACGTCTTCCGGGCCGTGGGTAGAGTCTGGGGCCAGGGGTGCGGGCAGCATGCCCCCCAGCTGACCTCCTGGGGGCCGTGCAGTGGGAGGCTCAAAGCCTACCCCATGGCCACAGTTGGGCCTCTTGGCTTTTGTCCCTTTCGCCCCAGAGGGACCATGTTCGGGAGGACCTGGCAGGTCTCCACACCCTCCTGCTGTTGCGGACTCAGGGGCGCCCTACCCCAGTCCCCCACCTCCCACCCTCCAGGCTCAGGCTCTGGCCACCCCTGACCACTGCAGCCGTCCATGGCCTGGTGCTGTTGGGGCCTTTACAGCGCCCACCCCTCAGCGCCCTTGGCTCCCAGGGGTCAGGCCTTGGGGGCTCATGAGGCCCTTCCGACAGAGCAGAGTGTGGGCCACAACCAGGACAGGGACACCACGCTGCGGGAGAGCCGGGCCCGCACCCATGTGCTTGTCCAGGAGGTCCAGCAGCTGCGGGAGGAGAAGTCCAAACAGGTGAGGTCAGCAGGGACTCCCACTGGGGCGTGGCCGTGGGCGGGTCCCACGACGGCCTCTGCCCTGGCCACGGCCCGTGGCCCTTGTGGACCCTGCTGACTCTGCCCATAGTTTCTGGACCTGATGGAGACCGTGGAGAAGCAGCGAGATGAGCTGGCTCGGAGCAGCCGGTGAGCAGGCCTGGGGCCCACCAGGGTGACCCCCCGGCCTGAGGAGGTGGGCTGCAGGGTCAGCTCTGGTGCACAGTGGCCCTGGCGTGGCACGCTCTGGGGATTGGGCGCAAGGACGCAGGTCCCTGAGCCCTCTCTGGCCACAGGGCATCAGTCGAGCGGGTTGGGCAGCTGCAGGAAGCTCTCAACGAGAGGCAGTCGGTCATCAACACGCTCAAGGCCAAGTACGTGGGGGATCCTGCAGGGACGGGGCAGGCTCGCTGGAGCCTGAGGCCTGGGAAACTGCAGTGGCCGGGCCACCTTCCCACAGGCTACAGATGACCGAGGCTGCCCTGGCCCTGTCGGAACAGAAGGTCCAGGAGCTAGGCGAGCTGCTGGCCGTCTCGGAGCGGGAGCAGCTGAGCCAGGCACGGCAACACGAGAAGGAGCGCCGACTGGAGCAGCAGGTGCCTAGAGTGGAGTGGGGCCCAGCGGGCTGACCTGCAGTGACTAGGGGTGACCGCTGCCTGCCCGGCAGGAGGCCACCGAGCGCGAGGCCAAGTTCCTCCGGGACCTGTCAGCCACCAATGAGAAGAATCTACTCCTCCGGGACCAGGTGGGTGCTGGGGCACTGTGAGTGGCAGCCAGCCGCAGGTGCCCCACCCACGCTGGCCCCCGGGTGGGTGCTGGGGCACTGTGAGTGGCAGCCAGCCGTAGGTCCCCCACCCACGCTGGCCCCCGGGTGGGTGCTGGGGCACTGTGAGTGGCAGCCAGCCGCAGGTGCCCTACCCACGCTGACCCCCAGGTGGGTGCTGGGGCACTGTGAGTGGCAGCCAGCCATAGGTCCCCCACCCACGCTGGCCCCCAGGTGGGTGCTGGGGCACTGTGAGTGGCAGCCAGCCGCAGGTGCCCCACCCACGCTGGCCCCCGGGTGGGTGCTGGGGCACTGTGAGTGGCAGCCAGCCGCAGGTGCCCTACCCACGCTGGCCCCCAGGTGGGTGCTGGGGCACTGTGAGTGGCAGCCAGCCGCAGGTGCCCTACCCACGCTGGCCCCCGGGTGGGTGCTGGGGCACTGTGAGTGGCAGCCAGCCGCAGGGCCGCAGGTGCCCCACCCACGCTGGCCCCCGGGTGGGTGCTGGGGCACTGTGAGTGGCAGCCAGCCGCAGGTGCCCCACCCACGCTGGCCCCCAGGTGGACGAGTCAGAGCGGAAGGTGAAGGCCCTGCAGGAACAGCTGTCCCTGGCCAGGCAGCAGCTGACCACCACAACGGCTGAGCTGAAGCTTCGGGCTGTGCAGGCCGAGGGTGGGCCCAGTGGGCAGCCCTGTGGGGGGCAGGGGGCCGGGGGCCAGGGGTGGGCCCGGCGGACAGCCCTGTGGGGGCAGGGCCCGGGGAGCCTGCTCACGCACTGCGTGCTTCTCCGGCCGCCAGAGCGCCTGGACGCCGAGAGGAAGAGAACCAAGCAGAGCCTGCAGGACGCCGAGAGTCTGCGTGTCAAGGAGGTGCCCCGTGTCCCTGGGGCGGGGCTCCCCGGGGAAGGGAGGGGCCCAGGACCTGGCAGTGCTGACCCCTGCCCACACACCTGGGCAGGTGGAGCATATGAGGCAGCAGCTTGAGGAGAACGAGAGGGCCACGCAGGAGAGGGTGCAGCGGCTGGAGGCCACACGGCTGGCACTGGAGGAGGTGGGCAGAGGGGGGTGGGCAGGGCAGGTCAGGGGGTGCCGAGCTGGACCAGGGCTAGCCAGGGCTGTGCTGCAGGAGCTGGGCCGCGTGAAGGCAGCTGCGCTCAGTGAGCGTGGCCAGGCAGAGGAGGAGCTCTTCAAGGTCCGGAGCCAGGCCCGCCTGGACGAGGTGAGGCTAGGCACACGGGTCTGTGGCCATGCCCAGGGCAACTCGGGCTCTGCAGGGCCGAGGCATGTGGGCGGAGGGGCTGGCCTGCAGGGAGGGAAGAGGCGCCCACAGATGCCAGCAGCCCCTCCTGTACCCGCAGCAGCAGCGCCTGGCCCACCTGGAGGAGAAGCTGCGGCTGCTGGCACAGGCGCGGGATGAGGCTCAGGGCACCTGCGTGCAGCAGAAGCAGACGGTGGCCGAGGCCCAGGCCAGGGCCAGCCAGCTGGAGCTGCAGGCGGACGGCCTGCGGAGGCGCGTGGACGAGCTGCAGCAGGTAGCCGCGCGGGGGTCCAGGGCCCGGGCGGGATGCGGGGCTTGGGCGGGGGGCCAGGGCCTAGGCGGGGTGGGGGGCAGGGCCTAGCCGGACGCCGGGGCCGGTCTCACCCACGGCGCCCACAGGAGCTGAGCCACAAGGAGCAGGAGAAGGTGGCCGAGGTGGCCCGGGTGCGCGCCGAGCTGCAGGCGGAGCAGGCGGCCCAGGCGGCTCTGAGGGAGAAGGCGCTGGCCCTCGAGCGCCAGCTGCGAGGTGGGCACGCGGCCGGCCCGGGCGGGGGGCGTTTGGGGGTCTCCTGCGCCCCGGCTCACCGCACCGGCGGCCCGCAGCCACGGCGAGCGACCACCGGGAGGCGCTGCGGGACCGGGAGAGCGAGAACGCATCGCTGCGGGAGAAGCTGCGGCTGCGGGAGGCGGAGGTCGCGCGCGTTCGCGACGAGGAGGCGCAGAGGGCCAGCTTCCTGCAGCAGGCCGTGCTGGCCTACGTGCAGGGCTCCCCCCTGCGCACGCTGAACCCCCCGAAGTGAGGGCGGCCGCGCCCCGCGCCCCGGTGCAAACACGACTTTTGTACTTTGTGATACAGCTCGGCTTCGCGTCTCTGTCTTAGGGGCGGGCGTGGGGAGGGGCGCGCGCCCGGACGCGGGGGTCGCGCGGCGTGGACCCGCCCCCGCCCGCTCGGCTGTCTCCGTGGCCGCGCTCGGCGGCGCTCGGCTGTCTCCGGCGCGGCTCGGCTCGGGTCCGCGGCCGTTGCGGAGCCGGGCATTTCTCCGCAGCTCGGCTCGCGGCCGCGCCCATGCAGGCCATCAAGTGCGTGGTGGTCGGCGACGGGTGAGTGCCCGGCCCGCGGCACGGTGGGGCGCCCGGGGCGGCGGGGGGCGCGGCGGGGCGGGGCGGGGCTGGGCGGCCCGGGATGTGGGATGCATGCGGGATGCGGCCCGGCCCACCTGCTGCTGCGGCCTCGCCCTGCGCCATGCGTCCTGCCGGGGGTCCCCGTGTGCCATGTGCCCTGCTGCCACCCCGCCCCCGTGCGCCCTGCCGGGGGTCCTGTGCACCCTGTGTCCTGCCGTGCCCCCCCCCGTACGCCCTACTGGGGTCCCCGTGTGCCATGCGCCCTGCTGCCACCCACCCCCCGTGCGCCCTGCCGGGGGTCCCCCCCACGTGCAACCTGCTGGGGGTGCCCGTGTGCCATGTGCCCTGCACCCTGCCAGGGGTCCTAGTATGTCCTGAGCCCTGCCGGCCACCCCCCCCCGTGCAACCTGCTGGGGGTTCCCATGTGCCGTGCGTCCTGCAGTGGGTGCCCGTATGCCACGTGCCCTGTGCCCTGCCGACCCCCACCCCGTGCGCCCTGCCGGGGACCCCTGCGCCCCAGGGGTCCTAGTATGCCCTGCGCCCTGCCGGCTACTCCCCCCGCCCCGTGCAACCTGCTGGGGGTTCCCATGTGCCGTGCGTCCTGCAATGTGTGCCCGTATGCCACGTGCCCTGTGCCCTGCCGTCCCCCACCCCGTGCACCCTGCCGGGGACCCCTGCGCCCCAGGGTCCTGCGGGCGGAGCAGGCTGGGAGCCAGGTGGGCACGTGTGTGTCTGCAGCGCCGTGGGCAAGACGTGCCTGCTCATCAGCTACACGACCAACGCGTTCCCGGGAGAATACATCCCCACCGTGTGAGTGCGGGCGGGTGGGGCCGGCGGCGCTGCGGCTGCACTGTGGGGGTCTCCCTGACCTCCGACCCGCACCCCCTCCCGCAGCTTTGACAACTACTCGGCCAACGTGATGGTGGATGGCAAGCCGGTCAACCTGGGGCTGTGGGACACGGCGGGGCAGGAGGACTACGACCGGCTGCGACCCCTCTCCTACCCACAGACGGTAGGGGCGGCAGGGGGGGCCCTGGGGGGAGGGCAGCGGTGGGGGAGGGCAGGCCGGGAAGCTGGTCGGGCTGCGGACCCCCATGACCTCTGCTGCCCACCCGCAGGACGTCTTTCTGATTTGCTTTTCCCTGGTGAGCCCGGCCTCCTTCGAGAATGTCCGCGCCAAGGTAGGCGGGGCTGGAGCAGGGGCACGCTGGTGGGGTCTGCAGGGCCTGGGGGCATTGGCGCCTACTCAGTTTCCTGCCAGCTGGTCAGGCCCCCATGGTCACCCGTGACATGGGAGGAGCCAGGCCTGGGCCTGCAGCGTCAGAGCCTATGTGCACCCCCCCAGTGGTACCCAGAGGTGCGGCACCACTGTCCCCACACTCCCATCCTGCTGGTGGGCACCAAGCTGGACCTCCGGGACGACAAGGACACCACTGAGCGGCTGCGGGACAAGAAGCTGGCGCCCATCACCTACCCGCAGGGCCTGGCCATGGCCCGTGAGATCGGTGAGGCTGCGTGGGAGAGCAGGGCGGGGACAGGTGCCCCACGCCTCAGCCACCCCGGGGCCACCATGTGTCCTGGTCCCTGGTTGCTGTCCCAGGCTCTGTCAAGTACCTGGAGTGCTCAGCACTGACCCAGCGGGGCCTGAAGACCGTGTTCGACGAGGCCATCCGTGCCGTGCTGTGCCCGCCCCCCGTGAAGAAGCCGGGCAAGAAGTGCAGCGTGGTGTAGGGCCGGGCTGGGCACAGCGCAGGGCCGACCTCCGGGAAGGGTGGGCAGGGTGCCTGGGGCTGGGCGCAGCGCAGGGCCGACCTCCGGGAAGGGTGGGCAGGGTGCCTGGGGCAGGGGGCAGCCCCGTGGCCTTTTATACAATAAACGTTCTCCACCGCCGCCTCCTGCCTCTCCTTCCCCGCACCCACAGTGGGCTCGGCTCGTGCAGGGGGCGGGAAGAGGTTCGGCTCCCCACGCACCCCGCGCGGGTCACTAGCCCCCCAGCCCTGGCTCCCTCACCCTGGCCACCCCCTCGGGAGCCCAGGAATCCACACACGGCTCGCTCCACAGTACAAGTTTATTGGGGGAGGGGCGCTGCAGCCCGCCATCCTGGGGGGGCACCGGTCAGGTGGCCAGGAAACCGCCATCCACCGGCAGGGTGGACCCGGTGGTCATGCCGCTGCGGTCGCTCAGCAGGAAGAGGATGGCATCCACCACGTGTTCCACGTCTGCGGGCAAGGCAGGGGTCGGTGTGGGGCTGCGCTGCCCACTGGTGCCCTCCCAGCCCGTGCACAGCCCACCTCTCACCAGCGAACTTGCCCAGCGGGATGCGGTCCAGTATGGTCTTGGCCTTCTGCGGGTCGCTCCAGTTGGCCTGACCCATGGGCGTCATGACCACGGTGGGGTTCACCGCGTTCACTCGGATCTACCCAGACAGGCAGGGCTTAGCAGGGGGGCCGGCCGGCAGGTGCTGCAGGAGATGCCCCAAGTGGCTCACCTTGTGGGGCCCGAGCTCCAGGGCCATCACCTTGGTCAGCATGTCCAGGGCACCCTTGGTGGAGCCTGTGGGAGGATGCCAACGGGCCCAAGTCCACAGAGGGAGGACAGGGCAGGAGGAGGGGGAGGACAGGACATGGAAAGGACAGGGCAGGGGAGGACAGGGCGGGGGAGGGTGGCGCAGCGCTCACAGTACACGCTGTGGTTGGTCACGGCCCGGTGGGAGGCCTGGCTGGACACGTTCACGATGGCTCCTGGGGCTCCACGGGCGATCATGCCCTTGGCCACCATCTGCAGCGGCACCGGGGGTGAGACGGGGCGGCCACGGCCCACGGGCCCCCTTCCCCACGGGCAGTGCGGCTCACCTGGGACACCTGGATGACGGCACGCAGGTTCACGGCCAAAGACCTGAGCACAGGGAGAGGGCAGAGCCTGGTGAGGGACGTGGGCGCTGCGGGAGGCCCCGCCCCCGTCACGCCCTTCCAGCCAGGCCACTCCCCCACGCCCCTGGTCACGCCCCTTCCTTCAGCCAGGCCACTCCCCGCGCCCCCGCCCCTTCACCCACGCCACGCCCCCCGCCTCGGCCCCGCCCTTCCATCCCCCGCCCCTACCACCCCGGTCACACCCCTCCAGCCAAGCCACTCCCCCACGCCCCTGGTCACGCCCCTTCAGCCAGGCCACTCCCCGCGGCCCCGCCCCCCGGCTCACGTGTCACAGGCCTCCTTGGTGACCTCCAGGAACGGCTGCAGCAGCGCCACCCCCGCGTTGTTGACCAGCAGGTCCACGGGGCCCAGGCCGCCCAGCGCCCGCTCGGTGGCCTCCCAGTCGGCCAGGTCCACGCACACGGTCTCCATGCCCGGGCACTGCGAGCGGCCGGCAGGGGAGAGGCAGAGCTACGGGGGGCCGCGCCCGCCCTGCACCCCACACCCTGCACCTGCACCCCGCACCCTGTACCCCGTACTCGCCCTGCACCCCGCAACCTGAACCCTGCACAACACACCCTGTGCCCTGCACCCCGCACCCTTCACCCTGCACCCCACACCCTGTGCCCGGCACCCCGCACCCTTCACCCTGCATTTTGTACCCTAAACCCTACACCTTGCAGCCTGTACCCCGCACTCTGTGCCATGAACCCCGTGCTCCCCCTGCAGCCTGCACCCTACACCCCCCACCCTGTGCCCTGCACCCCGCAGGGAGCCTACCTCGCGGACCAGGCTGTCCAGGTCTGCGCGGGTCCGGCTCACGGCCACCACCCGCGCGCCCGCCGTGTGCAGGGCCAGTGCTGTGGCACGCCCAATGCCTGCGCGGAGCGGGACTCAGTGCAGGCCCGGCCTCCAACCCTTGTCCACTCTGGCGGTCCGTCCCTCGTCTGTCCATCGTCCGTCCACTCCCCGTCCCCCATCCACCGTCCACTCTGTACCACATCCACTCTGCCCCATCCATTCTTTCCCTCCGTCCTCCATCCACTCTGTCCTCCCATCCACTCTGTCCTCCGTCCACTCTGGCCCCATCCACTCTGTCCTCTGTCCACTCTCTCTCCTGTCCCCCAACCACTCTGTCCCCCCCCCGTCCACTCTGCCCTGTCCACTCTTTCCCTCCGTCCTCCGTTCACTCTGTCCTCCGTCCACTCTGTCCCCCGTCCACTCTGTCCCCTGTCCACTCTGTCCCCGTCCACTCTGTCCCCCGTCCACTCTGTCCCCGTCCACTCTGCCCCCTGTCCCCCGTCCACTCTGTCTCCCGTCCACTCTGCCCCCTGTCCCCCGTCCACTCTGTCCCCGTCCACTCTGTCCCCCGTCCACTCTCTCTCCTGTCCCCCGACCACTGTCCCTGTCCCCCCGTCCCTCCGTCCTTCTGTCCACCAGTCCCCGTCCCTTCCACCTTTGCCCGCCCCGGTGACCAGCGCGCGGCGCCCGCTCAGCCCCAGCTCCATGTCGGCGCCGTCTGCGCGCGCAGCCGGGCGGCCAAGGCTGGAGGCGCCGGGGGCGGGCCGCGGCAGGGGCGGGCCGCGGTGGGGCCAATCGCAGGCCGGCCTGCGCGGCGGGGGCGGGGACACCCACAGGCCGCCTCTCCTGAGGCGAGGATTGGCCGCAGTTGGGGGCGGTGCAGAGGGGGCGCGGCGCGGCGCGGCCAATCGCAGACCGGCCTGCGCGGCGGGGGCGGGGACACTGAAATCGGCCGCGGCAGCTCCTCCCCTGCCCCGCCCGGGAAGAAGGTCGCAGACCAACCGGAAACGCCGCCCGACCCCGGCGCGCGTCCACGGCGTCCTGCTCCCCCTCGGACCCACTGGGCGCTGCACGTGCCCGGGGCAAAGGGCACCTCATGACGAAACGCCCTGCGGTCTCGGTTCGTGAGGCGGGGCCACATTTATTGAGGGAACCGGGCGAGGGGGCGGAGGCCTGTGAGGGGCAGAGGGCCTGAGGGCGTAACCTGTGGTGGGGGCGGGCCCTGCTGTGATGGGCGTGGCCTGTTCTGGGGCGGGCCCTGCTGTGATGGGCGTGGCCTGTTCTGGGGGCGGGGCCGGCCAGGGAGGTGGACAGGCCAGGCCACCATGGCCAGGTCCTCGGGCGCCCCAGCCGCCTCAGGAGGCTAGGTAGCCGGCGTCCACGAGGATGCAGGAGCCGCTGGTGGAGGCGCTGAGGTCGCTGAGCAGGAAGAGGATGCTGTTGACCACGTCCTCCACCTCTGCACGGGCAGCGATGGCATCAGGGGCCGAGCAGGGGACGTGCAACCGGCCACCACCCGGCCCCGAACCCGGACCTGCCCTGGTCCCTGCCCAGATCCCGAACCCGGACCCCAGTCCCGGCCCAGACCCCAACCCCAGCCCAGACCTCAGACTCAGCCCAGACCCCAGTCCCGGCCCAGACCCTGGACCAGGCCCCGGACCTGCAAACTTCCTCAGCGGGTGGCGCGCCTTCAGCTTCTGGGCCAGCTCGGCGTCCTCTATGACCCTCCGGCCCATGGCGGTCAGCACCACCGTGGGATTCACCGAGTTCACTCGGATCTGGCCAGGGGCCCCTGGGTGTCAGCTGCAGGCCTTCTCCCCAGACTCTGGGCCTCCACCCGGTCTCACCTCCAGCCCCACTCCCCAGCCTGAACCCCTTGCACCCCGGCCCCCAGCCCCCACCTTGTGTGGCCCCAGCTCTAAGGCCATGGCTTTGGTCAGCATGGTCATTGCGCCCTTGGTGGAACCTGTTGGGGGGAGATAGCCCCAGGGCCTCTGAGTTGCGTCCCGGGGACGGGGGTCCCCTGTGTGGGAGGTGCTGGCTTGGGGAGACTCACTGTAGGTGGACAGGTTGGGGAAGGTGACGTGGGCCACCATGCTGGAGACGTTGACGATGGAGCCAGGCACGCCACGCTGGATCATGCTCCTGGCAGCCATCTGGACATGAGGGCGGGTATCAGCTGACCCCAACCCAGCTGCCTGGCTCCACGGGGCCATGCCCCTGCCCACATAGGCTTACCTGGGACAGCTGGAACACGGGGCGCAGGTTCACACTGAAGGACCTACAGGACAGGAGTCCATTGGGCAGTGAGCCCCCTCTGACCACTATCCCCTGTCCCCACTGTCCCCCAACCCACTGTCCCCCGACCCCACCTGTCTCCACCTGTCCCCCAACCCCACTGTCCCCCAACCCACTGTCCCCACTGTTCCCCAACCCACTGTCCCCACTGTCCCCTGTCCCACTGTCCCCCAACCCACTGTCCCCACTGTCCCCGTCCCCACCTGTCGAAGGCCTCCTTGGTGACCTCCAGGAATGGCTGTGACAGCGCCACGGCAGCATTGTTGACCAGCAGGTCCACGGGGCCCACACCAGCCAGCGCCCGCTCGGTGGACTCCCAGTCACCCAGGTCCACACACACGGGCTGGACCCCAGGGCACTGTGGGACACAGGGGGAGGTGGCCAGCGGTGTGGTCCCAACAGGCTCCCAAGGTAGGGTTCAGGGCCACGGCTCACCTCATCCACAAGGTGGACCAGGTCAGCATTGGTGCGGCTCACGGCCACCACGCCGGCACCCCGGGCATGCAACGCCTTCACGGTGTCCCGGCCGATCCCTGCAGGACAAACCCTGAGTGAGCAGCTTGGGAGCACGGCCGGGGCCCCTGGGAGCTGGTGTGAGCCAGCAGTGCCACTGGGCAGCAGGCAAGGCCCGTGGGCTTCCCTTTGGTCTCCTTGGTCTCCCCCACACACCTTTCCCTGCACCGGTCACCAGGGCCCGCAGGCCGTGGAAGCTGGGCTGCATGGTGCTGGCTCTGGTCTTGCCTGCTGGGGAACAGGCTGGGGTTTTATGAGCCTGGGCTGGCGGGCAGGGCTGGGGTGGGGCCAGGTGGGCCTGGCAGGGGCCTGGGCAGGGCACAGGAAGGGCTCCAACACAGGCGTGAGTGTGGGAGGGAAGGAAGGAGGGAGAGAGAGAAGGAGGAGAGAGAGGGATGGAGGGGAAAGAGAGAGAGAGAGAGAGAGAGAGAGAGAGAGAGAAACCACAGCAGGGGGCGACTCAGGTTTCCTTCTTGTCTCCTGGCCAGGAGGGAAACTGCGCCCTCTAGTGCCTTGCTACCAGCACAGGAAGTGGCCTCCTGGCCATGGGAGAATGGGGCCAGCATCCATGTCGCCAGCTGTCTGTCCTGCGCTGCCCACCCCCTGGGGATGGGCGCGCCTGTCACAGATCCACAGCTGGGGCCTGTTAACCTGGGCAGTGGCCGAGGGTCCTGGGCCGGCTCCAGTGCAGCCCCCGGCAGAGGGACAGCTGGAGGGACGTCTCCCCTGAGGCCTTGTGGGAGCGGGGCGTCCTGGGGCGGGGGAAGGTCTACTGAGGCGGGACGCTGGCCATCATGCCCGACAGGCTGCCGAGTCCCACGGGACCCAGTGTCCATTCTGCTCCAAAAAGGCTGGGTCCTGGTGCGATGCCATCTTGGCCAGAGAGCCAGGAGGGCCCAGCCCTGCTGGGCAGCGCGCTCCTATGCCGGCAGACGCAGTCCCTGTCACGCATGGGCTTCGGACCCGCTTCTTTGGGACTCGCCTGGCCATGTCTGCCTTCCACTGTCAACTGGACACTGAGTGTGGCAGGCCAGTGTCCACAGTGCAGCCTGCCCCAGTGGGTCATCCGGGTTGGCCGTGTTGGAGTAGGACTTGGCTCCTGACTCACGCTGGTGCTTAAGTGACACCAGCCCCCCACGTCTGAGCACCTAGCTCTGTCCAGTCACTCTGTCCCCCAGCCAGCTCCCTGCTAATGTCCTGGGATAGCAGCCCTGGTGGTCAGTGCCAGGTCCCTGCACCTGTGTGGGGCCCGGATGGAGTCCCGGGCTCCCGGCTCCGGAGCGGCGCAGAACCAGTGCTGCTGTTGGCAGAGCAGTGGGTGTGGGCCGTGGCTCTGGGAGAAGCTGCTGCTGCCAGCCCCATGGCAGAGCCCCGTGGGCAGGAAGGCCAACGTGGAGACGGGCTCTTCGGCAGTGGCAGCGGGCAGCACGGGGAGCCGCAGGGGCAGACATGACAAGGCCTTCAGCTTGCACATGCAGAGAGCAAGGCCCTGGCTACCCGTGTCTTCCTCTGGGACCAGCTGGCCACATCTGGGGACGTGACTGACGCAGAGCCCTGAACTGGGGCCCAGCCCTCAGACGTCCATGTCAGGTGAGGCCTGGACAGTCAGGGCAGGGAAGGACCCGGCCCCCGGAGCTGCTCATCTGTGGGGTCCCTGGGTGGTCTCAGGGTCTCAGGTGTGGGTGGGGCCCAGCGCAGCGGTGCTGGGGGGCAGCAGTCTGAGTGCCCCCTCTGGCCTCTGTGACCGCTCCCGCCCTCGCTCTGTCTCCACCTCCCTCACATCCCCACCCCCTCCCCTACTGGCCACCCTGGGGCCTCAGCCCCGTCCCCAGGCCTGCTGCCTGAGGCGATTGGTTCAAAACCCAAGACCTGCACCCCTGGTGGCTCCCTGCTGGGGGGAGGGGCAGGGCTCAGGACAGGGAGCAGACACCTGCCCCACGCCTCCCTCGCGTCCAGGGCTAAGGGCAGAGCTACAAAGCTGTGGGGCATGGGGCAAGCGGGCGGTGCCAGGGGTCACGAGGGGCAGTGCAGCAACTCTGGAGACTGCGGATCAGGCAGGTGTAAGCTGACACCCTGAGAACCCGTGGGCCCTGGGCTCCCAGGGCAAGATTAGCCTGGGGCTCCTGTGTGTGTGTTCACTCCAGGACCGCAGGGCCATGGGCTCCCTGCCTCTGCTGGGCCCTCACACCTCTGTGGGGTTGGGGTGTTACGTCAGCTGGCAGGTGCAGGCCAGGCCCATGGAAGCCCAAGCTGCCTGGGTGCACCACCATAGGTTGAGGAGGGCGCCTCCCCGCAGCCTCGCTGCTGGACCCCTTGCGTTAGGATGAGATGGGTGACCACAGGTGACCACACAGCTGGGCGGTGAGAATGCGAGTCGGGTTTGAGTAAGCCATGGCCCCACGCGTGCCAGGTTCTACAACAATCATCAATTTCCTGGTCACAAGAGGAAGATCAGAGAAACCTACACGCCAGTCAGCCTGAAGAAATGACACACAGGCCAGGTCACAGCGACACCCGACAACAGAGAAGGAAACCCTGGCGGGCGGCCTGGCCCGCTCCCACGGGACCCAGCACCCTGCTTGGGGCCCCTGCCGCCGTGTGGGAGACGTGGAGGAGGCTCCTGGCTCCTGGCTCCTGGCTGGAGCAGCTCCGGCTGCAGCCCTTGTAGGCAGTGGCCCAGGCGTGGGAGTGCTCGCCTCTCTCTGTTTCTGCCTCTCTCCTTCTTGTTCTACTTTCCTTTTCAAGTTTGTGTTAAATTTTTATTTTGAATGTTTGAATGCTGTGGTACAATGTCGTATGGACTGGGATTCCCCCCCCCGCAAACTCCCATCCCTGACAGATCTTCCCCACGTGGCCACAATAGCATCGTCTTTCGTAAGGAGTCATCGCCCACCAGCCTTTTGTTTAAGTGTGCCCCGACGCTGCTGGCACAAGGGCAGACAGCCCAGCGCCCCCTGCCCACACACTCCAACAGTTTCCCTGGGAGTCCATCTCTGACCCGGAAGCCGGAAGCGTCCTGCATTGCACCCCCACATCTGGATACGGTGGCCCCGTTCTCCGTCACTCTGCATTCCCGTGAGAAGCCGTGAAATAAGGCCAACAGCCACATGGCTTAGAGCAGCAGCCACGCAGCAGGCTACTTTTCAAGTAGATAAGAACAACAGAATGAAGAACGAAAATTAAGACAAAGCCTGTGTCTCAACACAGCTCCCGGGGGTCTGGGCGGTCCGCAGCAGCCCAGGTGAAATGGGCATCCTTCAACCTGCACCTTAAAAATGAAGAAAAGAAAGAAAAAGATGGGGCCTGGCGCCATGGCCTAGCAGCCTAAGTCCTCACCCTGAACGCACGCCCGGGATCCCATATGGTCACCGGTTCTAATCCCAGCAGCCCTGCTTCCCATCCTGCTCCCTGCCTGTGGCCTGGGAAAGCAGTGGAGGACGGCCCAAAGCCTTGGGCCCCTGCACCTGCCTGGGAGACCTGGAAGAAGCTCCTGGCTCCTGGTTTTGGACTGGTGCAGTACCGGCCGTTGTGATCACTTGGGGAGTGAATCATCAGACAGATCTTTCTCTCTGTGTATTTGCCTTCCCCTCAGATAAGTTAATCTTTTAAAAAATTATGCTTGGCCAGCGTCAGCGCCTGGCTGATGCAGGCAGATTGTGGAGGGTCTGGGGGCTGGTACCAGGGGTGTGGGCAGGGGAGGGACATGGGTGAGCTTGCTGCTGTGTGCTGGTGCACTGGGCATGGGGAACTGAACGTGCTTGAGTCTTCGGTGGGCAGAGGGGTAGCGTCTCAGGCCAGCACCCGTGCCAGGACCTTGGGGCTCTGGTGGACAGGCAGAGCTCCAGGCCAGCATGCCACCCCGCTGGGAGACTGGGCCAGAGAACCCACGTGCTCCTGGACACAGGGACTGTGGTTTGATCAGGGAAGCGGGTACGGGAATGTGTGGGAGGGCGGACCACCGTGGGAGGCGAGGAATGACTTCTGGGACTTCCCTGACAAGGCCACTGTCGTTGCAGGTCAGTGAGGACGCTGAGACCAAGCGGTTTGGAGGAGGGAAGCTGGAGGACCTTTCTGGGTCAGACCAATGCACCCACTCACGTGGGAAACCTGAGCTGGGCTGGCTAGCTTCGACCACCGCGGAACACCAGCCACTGGCACACACTGACGGGCTGGGGGGCCTAGCTGGCATGGCTAGACCTCAGTACCTGCCAGTGTCGGAACAGGGGGCGGATAATGTTAGGCTGGGTCATGACATTAACCAGCACGTGAGAGAACCAGGTCTGGGGCAGATTCTGTGGAGGATATAGGGGCTCACCACTGTGAAACTGCAATAGCTGCTGTTTTGTTCAAGAGCTGGGGGTAGTGACGGCCTGAGCTAGCATGACCATGGAACCCCAGGACACTTGTGGGTACTGGGGTAGGGAACAGGCTGGCCTGGTCCAGGCTGCCACACCCACCAGCTCACACAAAAGCTGAGACAGAGGGGGGCAGACTATGCTGGGTGAGGGCCTAGAACCCACAGGCACGTGTGAGATCTGGGTCTGAGAGTGGACCTGGCGGGGGAACTTGGTGAGCACAATTCAGGCCTGGACGTTGGTCAGGCCAGGCGAGGCAGCTCTGCTTGTCAGCAGGACTGTGGATTGGTTCAGGGGGTGGGGGCAGGGCTGGGCCAACCTTAGCCCACTGGCATGTGCAGAAGCCAGGATGGAGAAGGGGCCATGCCGGGCTAGGCTATGACATGTGCCAGGCTGCATGAACTAGGGGTGGGAGCAGACTGAGCAGGGCTAGGCTGCAGCACCCACCAGCAGGAATTGGGACTGGGGTCAGGCTAAGCCAGGCAGGCTGCAACATCAGATGGCAAAGGCCAAGACGGGGAGATGGGCTATGCGGGGCTGGTCAGAGTAACCACTGGCATGCATAAGAGCTGTGGCTGGGTGCCAGAGTCCAGCTCCAGCTGAGTTCGGAACTTGCGAAGGGTGCGTGGATGAGGCGTAAAGAGGAAAGAAAGACGGACCACTAGGACTTCATGATCATAATGGACAATGAGGGAAAGCTGTCCGCTTTATTCATACAAAATCAGTCAAATTCTGGCTCAGACTTTTTACGTCATGAACAAGTGGGTGTTTCTAAGGATAATTCTGCCATTTGTTTTACCTAGAAACAATAGAAGTTCCTGCTAGGATTCTTATCCTATAACTCAATCTTGTA